ATTTTTTAACTAAAATTTTGAAAAATCTAGCTAGTACTTGTCAACATGAGACTGATTCTAGAAAATGACATATCCTCTAAGAAAATCAGGGAGGGTGGGCGGGGGGCTAGTACTTACCTAGATAAGACTGATTTTGGCAGATGACTTATTCTTCTAAGAAAATAAAGGCTAAATCAAAAACTGACAAATTGAAAAATTGGATAAATGAGAAATCGGAAAATTGTACAGCTGTTTAATCGGAAAATCAAAAACTGAAATATCGAAAAATTGAAAAAAGAAAACCAAATCTTATAAAATCGAATTCAAAATTCCAGTTTTCATTTTTTTTGGTTTTTAGATTTTTCAACTTTTGAATATTTCATTTGATACATTGACATTTTGCAGTTCTTAATTCCAATCTTTTGATTTTTCAAGTTTTAACTTTACAATTTTGGATTTTTTTCATTTTTATGTTCTCAAATTAAAATTTATTCGTACCGAAATTTCGAAAAATCGAAAAATCCAAAAATTGAAAATTAGAAACAAAATTTTCTGATGTTTTAAAGTTACGGTAAACATGGCAATCGCTGATCAAAGTTACTTTTTACTCCCTTCCAAAAAGTCGATCACAAAAAATCAAAATTCGAAAATTTTTGAATTTTTTTTTAAGTTAACTTTTATTTATTTTTGTGTTATTGTTAATTTATATGTCCTTCTGCATCTTTTTGTTTCAATTACCATTAATTGTATGTATCATAAGGGGTATCCCGTTGAATAAATAAATAAAAATAAAATTTTAAAAATAAACATCTATTTTCACGATATTTTTAAAAATCAAATATTTGAGAAATAGGAAAACTGCCAAAATTGTAAAATTAAAAAATCGAAAGCTTTTTCAGTTGCCCAGAGAAATAAAAAATCGAAACACAGGTCAAAAAATTGAAAATTTAAAAAGCGAGAAATTGAAAAATTCGAAAGTTAAAAATCGAAAAACTGAATCATTTAGTAGTACTTGCTACCATAAGACTGATTTTTGCAAATGACATATCTTTTAATAAAATAAGGGTGGGTGGGCGGGGCTAGTACTTGTTAAAATAAGACTGATTTTGGCAGATGATCCACTCTTTTAAGAAAATTTGGTTCCCGAAATTTTTAACCGTTTTTTCGAATTCTTCACAACTTTCTTAACAACGTACAATCGAACCTATCGGTACTTTTTTTTCACCCTTTATAAAAAAATTAGCAACACGAACTAAATTAAAATCGACTTCTAAAGAAAATTAGTTCAATCACAAGTTTAGAGTGCCTTCTAGTAGGCAATGAAATTTATTTTTAAAATAAAGATGTTGGCAACATTTCTTTGGTTCGACAAATAAAAGTAATGCACTATAATTATTTTAAAAATAAATTTCATGCCAGGGAAGCCACAATTTACAAATTGAATCACCCTGTATAATTAAGTTGTACTAATAAAAGCATTTATTTTGAAAACCCTAATAGATCTGTGTACGTTCCGTCAGACTGTGTCGAAAAATTTGTAATCAGATTATTGAGACATCCTGTATATTATTATGTAGTTGTTAAATTACTTTGATAACATCTATAACATTTTTGATATATTTTTTAATTCATTGTTAAATATGAGATAACTCGATGTGATTTTTTAATTATAACTTATAAAGAAAAAAAAATGTCCAAAATTACTTAAACAGAACGTTCCTCGCCCATGAAGCACATCCAAACACAGTTATTAAATAATAAAAGTAAACTCCCCAAAATTTCTATTTTTGTGATAAGCCCCTTAAATAAAAATAAAAATAGGGATAAAGAAGATTGTGTAAGAGGGTATAATAAACAGATAAATTTTCCTGTTCTAACTTTATTTACTTGGTTTTTTTTAAATATCCAATTTTATATTCCGGATCATTTTAATTATTTTTACGACCAGTTTCTTCAGCAGTTTACGGAATAAAACTTTTTTTTTTCAAGATTGTAATAGTTTTTAATTCTTGTTTTTATGAAGGCCTGAAGATGCCTAGTTACTAGATGAAACTAGTCGTAAAAAATAAAGAAAAAGGTCCTGAATATAGAGTTAATTACGAGTAAAATTATTATCAAAGGAACAAGTGAATAGATCAGTTTTGATTAGCGATTTACTATGTTTACAATAACCTTCATACGTTTAAAGATCTCAGAAATTGTAAAATGTTGACGCATAATTTAGGTATTTAAAGTAGAAAATAATAAAGGATTAAAAAATTCAAGTATAGAAACATATTATATATTTTATAAAATTTAAACAGGATTTATCTACGAAAATTTTGAATAAGTTTTTTTTAATAATATTAATATTAACTATGTAAAGTATGATTTTTTCAACTTAATCCATAATTGTAAGAATTTACAAATTTTATACCAAATTTCTAGTGTTACTAGAAATTGTTATTTTTTTCATTTTGGATTTTTTTTAACTGTTTTTTATTTGTGATTCTTAAATTATAACTTGTAAAAAAAGTCTAAAGTTATTTAGATAAAGCGTTCTGATCTTCGAACGAAAATGGATTTTTTTAAACAATAAATTATATTTGAAACAGTATTTTTTGTGATAAACACCTATAACTTGAACGAACTAACAATAGGGACAGAGAAGCTTGCTTTGCGTATGTTTCAAGTGAATTTTTCTTGTCAAAATTTTAGGATGACGTCACCAAATTTTTGGAGGGTTTAAACAGATAAATTTTATCATTCATCAAATTTGAAACTCTGTATATATGTCCGTGATTTTTTAAATATTTTTTTATGATGACCATCTTCAGGCGATTATAATAACAGCCCACAAATAGATAAGAAGAGCACAGTTACAACAAAATACAAAAAATTCTGAATACAGAGTTTCACATAAAAATACTTCTTCTACGCTTTTACAATTTCCAAAATTTAGGACGTCCATATTTCAGACTTGTTTTATTTAAAAAAAAGTAGACTCTTTTGTACACTTAGGGTGGTCCTCCCTTTATGGTTTATAAATTTTAAAATTTTTGAATAAACTGACTTTAAAACACAGCCTGAATAAAAAACAAAATGATTTCTAAAAATATGGAAAAATCCCCAAAAAATCCGTCAAAAATAATGTCACTCCACGAGCATTCCCAATTAAAAAATTGCATCACCCAACCCACGCTCCATTGCAGAACCGTGCCAAGGCACTCAAGTTCAAGTTCAAAGAGCTAATCGCAACCTTCACTTCACCCGAGTACCTTCTATCACACCGAGCTAAAAAGAAAGACGTGTTTTTGTGAAAAAATGAAAGTACGACTTCACTTTTAAGATGATGAGCGAGTTAAAAACCATCACTCATAGACTCGCACGTTCACTCGACTTGGCGCATTGTGTCTGTAGTACCTCGCCGTAAATTCCACGCAAACTAATCAGCAATTTTCTCAATCTTGGCTAATCGATTTCAATTAGCGCAGATGAACTTATTTCTTGCAAATTAGTGTTTATCTTTCCAGTTCATTTATATTCAGTTAATGTTACGCGTTATTTGTAGGCCAGTGGGAGTACTTTCATTCGGATCACATGACGCCTAAGCCAGAATCTGTTAAATTAATTTGTGATAAATTAGCGTAATCCGAGCGAGAAAGTCGCACGTGAACCCCAAAAGTAGTGGCATTTTAGAGGTTTGTTTACACGGTTGGTAAGTAGTACCAGAGGCGCGCAAAAACGTCTTGATGGTTAGCTGTCGTAACTAAAGCCACAGAATGCTAATTAATTAGTCGTTAACCGCCATCAAAAGCTCACCTAAAGAGGTCTGCGGTGCATCCGGTACCACATGCAAATCAGTACCCGTTGAAACATAGGTGTTTATCTAGGTTGTCCTAGTGCACATGATCACAATAATTAAACCAAGCGATTCACATAACTGCGGACTTCCGGACACCTAATTGGTTGAGAACGAAATTCGGGAAAAATCGAACTCGGCAAAAAATCTTTAGAAAACGCGTATTTTGGGTATAATTACCGCAGTACCAAAACTTAATTAACGGAATTAGATGGATGCACGGCTGGTGTTTTTTCGGTTATTTATGTTTTCGTTTCAACTAATGATATTAAAAAGTGTGTTGATATCATGTAACCTACATCGGTACTGCTGGTGGGAAGTGTGCTTAATTGTGGGGACGGCTATAAAATGAAAAGTGAACTTTGTCAGACTTTCGATGTGTGAAAAAATCTGAACAATGACGGTCTGCTTACATGGTTAATTACAAGTAGTGAAAATGTTGTTCAAGTTGGACTGGAATTTAACGTTGTCGTTGTTAAGATGAAAGTAAAATATACAACAAATCCGAAGAAATCGCTTGATGATCAATAAAATTTTATTTGCCGGTTGGCTTCGTTTGCTTAAATTAACATCCAAATGCGTTTGAATGGAAGGCGCCGACGTCAAAAGCCCCGACAAAAACGCTTTATGATTTTTCTTTTTTTGATTTCTTGATAAATGACGACTGAACTCGCCGACAAAATATTTGTTGCGGTTTCTCTGCACAAAAATTCGTTCCAGAATTCCCACATTTTATTGTTCTGTGCTGAGTTGTTAAAAATTTATTTCAGTAGAAAACAGTCATTTAGTAGTCCATGAAATAAAGATGTTAAGTATATTCTTAACATCATTTTCATACTGTGCGCGTGGGCAGAAGGCGTAGTCTACGACTCACTTGTTTAAATTCCATATGAATGTTAAATGAATTTGGTAACACCTTATCAATGACATTGCGTTTAAGAAAGCTGTTAAGAATCAAGTTCAAGTCTCGTAATCACGTTAATTATAATTAAGTTAATGCTAATTAAGCGTAAGTCGCATTAATTAGCCTTTACTAGACGAATGTTGTTTGACCATAAATAAACGCACTAACATTGACCCCCAAAATCTGATTTATTAATAGAACTATTTCGACAGAGTTGACATTAAAAAAACTCAAGCTCTAGTTTTTATATTCGTGGTAACGCTCTTGTTTTTCCAGGTTACGTCAATATTGATATTAACGTTTCTACATGCAAATGCAGAGGCTCCTCCGGGATACGTCAAGCCTGCAGAACCTGCGGACAAAGTAAGTGAACACAATTTGTTAAATTAGTAACGCTAAATTTCCTGTCCTTATCTTGATGAATTAGCCAATTAATTATAATAATTTTCATTCACACGATCAATGCTTAAGCACCGATTATAATAAATCATAAATAAACAAGAACTCTGAAAACGGATGTTGTGGATTATCAATCACTCCAGTAAGTAGCATCGACCTCGTTGCCGTTTTTTGAAATTCCGCAAGAAATGGTTGAAGTTTGATAAATGAGGTTCATTTCGTTTTGGTGCTAATATCCTTCGGATTTTTCCTTCAGAAAAGTTGATCGAAAGCCTACAAGTTTTAGTTATTCGTGGACATTCGTTTTTAGCACTTTCTTTGCAAGTTCGTGTAGGTTATAGATGCACTGGTGTTAGATACACTTTCATCGTCTGCTAGTGGACAGATGTGTATTATGGTGTTTATGTAGCGTAGTGTAATAAATTAATTTCACTCACGACAACACTTTTTCTTCTAGAACCCTCCCAAATACGAATATGGCTACAACATAGACGACAAAGGAACATCGCATGGAAAACTCGAAACCCGAGATGGAATATACGCTCTTGGAAGGTATAACAATGAAGACACTTTTCGCGTCATCATAATTACATATCAGTAACACGGTTTCTCTTGAAGTTGTTACCTTTCGAGATAATGACTTCTTTATTAAAACGTGGTTGACATGACAAAGCATAAGTAAATAATGACAGCAATTACAGCACGTATCTTATTTGCTAAATTGCAAGCTGCGTGTGTGCTCCATTTTATTTTCATTGCATTAGAATCACCTGCGGTTGTCCGAGAATCCTCTTGTTTTACCACATTTCTAGATTAGCCGCAAGCTCTAACAATTTCGCTCTATTAGCCAAGTTGGCCTCAGATGATACAAATTAGAAACGTAAGTCACTGATTTCTGCAATAAACCCATTTAAGCATCTTCGAAAACTTTACTTTTTACCTTTCACACAACCGGGTATCCACTCAACTAGAAATAATTGTTCATCGGAACATTGCTAGTCGCCACTCCAGAAAAACCCTATCAGCTTCATCTCCACACTAATTTATCTTTATTTGATTTTCTCTTCACTATCAACATCCGCTGCTTAATTGATTAAAAATTGTCTAATTATAGGTACTACGTACAAGGCATCGACTCCACCCACAACGTCCAATACTACGCCGACGATTGGGGTTACCATCCTTTCATTGAATACAGCAATGTGGGACCACACAGTAGAACAAGAACTCAACTGTTATTAGGTGTAGAGGCTGTAAAAGCTTTGGCGTCCAACAAGGTACTTATTACTTGTACCCTCTAGCAATTCGTCCGACGTTTCTAATTTGCGTTCTTTTCAAGTTCACTCCGCACTCTGTACAACCTAAACAACACGTCACCCAAACCATCACCAGCAAACTGTCCACCAGAGACGGAAAAACAGCTCCAGCCCCACAAAAGCAACCACTTCAAATCGTTGTCGAACAACAACAACCTCAACAAGTTGTGGTAGAGCAACCGCAAGTCGTCGTTCAACAGCAACAAGTTGAACAACCTCAACACATCGTGGTGCAACAACCACAAGAAATCGTCGTGCAACAACCGCAACAAATCACGGTACAACAACCCCAGCAAATCACGGTACAACAACCCCAACAAACCCAGCAGATCTCCCAAATCCAACAGAGCCAACTGCAGTCGCAACAGATCGCATCCGACCAGTCCGACTCCATCGTGGTTGAAGCCAGCGGTAGACAATCTCAGCAAAATTTGATTCAGGAAAGCGCTCAACAACAACAGTTTGGTCAAGGGAGCGTCCAGCAAAGACTGGCGCAGCCTCAAGTCGAACAAATTTTGCTCAGACAGGAGATTTCACACCAACAGGTTCCCAATGTAGAGCCAAGATTGGCTCAACCTCAGCTCGAACAAGTGCAACTAGGACAAGAAATTTCGCACCAAGTTCAACAACAGGATTTGTCGCAGTTGAATCTTCAACAAATTTCTCGGCAGCAACAGGATTTGTCTCAACCACAAAGTCTTGCTCTTCAGGGTAACCTGATTCAAGATAGCGGTAAATCGATTCAAGATAACTTGGTTATCAGCCAGCAGTCGTCTGGAATTGAGGGTGAATTGCTTCAACGAAGCAACCAGCAACAGCTGATCCAACAATCTCAAGTCAGTCTTGGTGGTTTCGGCTCTAGGCTCAATCTTTTGGGGAGGAGGAGACCTACGTACAACGTGCAAATTCAAGACTCTCCTCATATACTTATCGAAAATACAAGGAATTTAGTTTCGGGACAAGACGTGTTGAACATTAATGGAGCAGCTGACCAGAAGATTGAAACTAATATTGAGACGAGCACTGCTAGAGCAATCGCAGCTGATCAGAACCTTGTGGAAGTTAGTACTGCAAGAAGCTTGATCAACGAACCTATTATAGTTCCCGAGTTTGACGAAAAGATCCTTTCAAGTACCGAAAACTATTTGAATTTGGGACAAGGTAGAGAACAGATTTATTCTACCACTGCCAACACTGTAGAAACCGTTTCTACGAAATCTTATAGTGTGACCGAACCTTCCGCTCTTTTGGTCACTCCCAGACCAATTAGTACCAACTTTTTGGCACCTATTACAGCCGGAATTCAACTACAAGGTAACGAAAACAGCAGAATTCAGTTGCAACAGGCCGAAAATAGCCAAAACGTAGCCACAAGCATCCAATTACAAAGCGTTGAAAGCAACCAGAAACTCCAAAGTAGTGGCCAAAGCAACAACGTTGTTGTTGAAGTTCAAAAAAGTTTGCCGTTCTACTTAGGGAAATTCGAATATGAACAGAATCCTAGTGCTTTAGGTTCGATTGAACAAGTGTCCACAAGACAGAGTCAATCCGGAAACTTGCAAGAGAAAGCCGTCGAAAATATTGAATTAGGTAAAACGCTTCTAGCTTTCCCGGAACAAAAATCTGAACAACGTGACTCTGTTCAATTCCGTCAACAATTAGAACAGCAGCAACAATTAGGACAGCAACAACAGCTAAAACAACAGCAACAGTTAGAACAGCAGTTCCAGCAACAATTAGAACAACAACAACAATTGCAGCAACAATTACAGCAACAACTAGAACAAAGTGACAGTGCTCAATTCCGTCAACAATTAGAACAACAACAACAACAACAACAACAGTTAGAACAAGGTGACAATGTCCAATTCCGTCAACAATTAGGACAACAGCAGCAATTAGAACAAGGCGAGAGTGTTCAATTCCGTCAACAGTTAGAACAACAACAGTTAGAACAAGGTGACAATGTCCAATTCCGTCAACAATTAGGACAACAGCAGCAATTAGAACAAGGCGACAGTGTCCAATTCCGTCAACAATTAGGACAACAACAAAGCGGCGAGATCCAATTGGAACAACTGCAACAAGCATATCAACAGCAAGTAGGCGGAGGCGCACAGTTGCGACAACAACAACTTCCCGAATCCTCACTCAAAGAAAACTTTATCGAAATCGACCAGCAACAAGCACAAGGAATCCAACACCAAGTTACCATACAACAAGTCAGTAGTACTCCTTCCCCGCTTATAATTGAAAAGGTTGTCGAAAGAAAAGTACCATACCCTGTCGTACAAACAAAAATTGTAGAAAAACCTGTACAAGTAACGAAAATAGTCAAAGAGCCTTATCCCGTCGGAGTACCAGTGCATGTTCCAGTGCAAGTACCGGTAGCTGTGGAAAGACGTGTACCTTATCCAGTACAAGTGGAAAAAATCGTTGAAAAACCTGTCAAAGTAACCGAGTTTGTTGAGAAACGTATCCACGTTCCTCAGCCCTACCCAGTTGAGAAAATCGTTGAGAAACAAGTACATGTTCCCGTGGAAGTCACCAAGTACGTTGATAGGCCATATCCGGTGCAAGTACCTGTAGCTCAACCATACCCTGTGGACAGAGTTGTGGAAAAAATCGTGAAACAACCGTACCCGGTCACCGTTAAAGTACCAGTTGAAGTGAAAGTACCCTATCCTGTTGAGAAAATCGTCGAGAAAAAAGTGCCGGTACCACAGTACATAGAGAAACAAGTACCGGTTGACAGAATCGTCGAAAAACACGTACCACATTATATCGACAGACCGTATCCCGTGGGAATCGAAGTCCCTGTACCTGTAGCCCAAGTTTACGCTGTAACGTTGGGTAAAACCGTCCAACCGGCTCCTTTAAGCACTCTTTCCGCACCACAACTGGTACAACCATCCCAGAGATACGGCGTGGCTGTTAAAACTATCAACGATTACCAACAGCAAGGACCACAGAAGTTACAAGGGTTGCAGCTGCAAAGACAGCAAGGGCTACAATTCCAAGGCCAACAATTCCAAGGACAACAATTACAAGGACAGCTCCAAGTAGACCAGAGACAGCAAGGGCTGCAACTCCAAGAACAGCAACTACAAGGCCAACTCCAAATAGACCAGACTTTCCTCCAAAGTAGTACTCGTTCGAATCAGTACCTATCTCCACAACCCCAATTACAAGAAAACAACGGTTACCTGCCCCCAGCGCACAACTGTGATCAACACAACAGTTTTAGTAGCAAAAACGTGTACTACACCATCCAACCAGACGACTATATAGGTTTGTCTCCACCTAGACTGCAAGACGCTGACCAGAACTCCCCCATCAAGTACAGAAATGCCCGTTCCAACTTCAACTCCAACTTGAGGGTGGAATATGGGTTCAAACCCCCACTAAGACCATCCCAGGAGATCGACGAGAACGGGAAGCCTGTTATCCGGGAACAACCATAGTGGTCTTCGTTTCAGTGATATTTGAATGCCATGGATGTATATTTTTCGTTTTAGCATTAACAGAGTTCATTTCTAGGGAAGGTTTTCATCATCGTACACGTTTTGCTTTTTGGTTACCGTTTACTAGACGTTCCTCAGGGTAGTCTACAGCTTTCTTCTCATTCATCGTTCTTTCATTGGATTTCATGTCTCATGTGTCATTTATTTTAGTCCTACAAAAATGTAGTATTTATTATTTTAATGCTAGTGTTTAGGTATTTAATTGTTTTTAGTCAACAGTCTGTTTTAGTTTTAAGAACTGCTGCTGAATATACTGAGTGTGATTTTAACGTGTATTGTGTACGTTAAATGATGAAGTGTATATATCTGAATATAAATAAAAATGAGTTTAATCTTGTATCCAATGGTTTTATTTTAAAATTATCTTGTAAAGTCATGTGCAGGATCCTTTGGTACAAGCAAATCTGTGAAACAAACTGAAAGTTTCGTTTTTGAAAAATGAAGTACCATGATCGTTGTTACGAACCAAATGATGTAATCAGTTTTTTCTTCTAAATTGGAGCTTATATTAAATGTATAATTAATCTTACGACAACGGACCAAATTGTTACGTATTTTATTTACATTGTTGCATATAGGCAACCAACAATACACACAAGCACAAATAGGTAAATACCACGGAGCTAGATAAGGACAAACGACTGTCAATGCCAACGGCGTTAAAGATTTGGATACATTTACTTTCCGTTATTTTTGGCGCGACCGCTAGAGGCGCCACTGAACACAGACCCTGGTTTAATATGGAAGCTTAAGAAAATTTGATTTTTTTTTTTTTAATTAATGTACCTCGAAAGGATAAAATGCTGCATCAGGCGTAAAAGTTGTCTGGTTTGCGAAAAACAAAAGAAAAAGGAGATGAAAAAATACTTATAGGAGGGGATTTTAACGCAACACTGGGCGATAAGGGGACAAGAATAATAGATAAAGGAAAGGGAGGGAAAAGAGGATCAAAAGACAAATTAAATAACAAAGAAAGGAAAATATTGTGGAAGAAGGAGATGAAGAAGGAGAATGGACGTAATTAGGGGGTAGGAGCTAGGGGAGAATCAATTATAGACTATGGGATTGCCAACGAAGAGGCGTGTGAAGAAATAGAGACCACATGCCACTAGAAATAAAAATCAAAGGAAAAGAACAAGAGTACGAAAAACAAGAGAGAAGGACCGAAAGAAAAAAAATAGGAAAAAGAATGTGGGATGAAGAGGGAATTCAAAGATATAGAAGTAGATTAGAAAAAAATAAATTCGAAGTAAAAGAAAATATAGAAGCTATGATAGCAGAACTGATCAACTTAATTGAAGAACTAACGGAAAAAACAAGATATATATATGGCAAGGGAGGAATAATGGATGAAACGGAAAATATAGTGAGTTGATGGGAAAAGCAAGCGAAGAATTAAGAAAATGGAAGAATAACAGGGGAAGGAAAGAAGAGTACTTAAAGGCTAGAGAGAATTGTAGGAGAAAATGTGAAGAAGGAAAACGAAAAAAACGAGGAGAAGAAGAAGAAGAGAAGACAATAAAGTCCCTGAAAACAGAAGAAAAAGTATGGAGATATATAAACAAGGAACGGAGAAAGAAGACTAAAGTCGGTAGGAAAATCAAAATACATGAATGGAAAAGACACTTTATGGAATCACTGGGAGGTTGTGAAGAAAAATGCTGCAATAAATAAAGGAATCACAACGACGGAAGAAATGTGGACAGGTTCGGAAATAACAGAAGATGAAATAGGAAGACAGATTGAAAAGAGGAAAGACACCAGGAGGGAATGGAATCCAGAACGAAGCGTGGATCTTCTGGACAGGAGTGAAAGAAAGGATATGGGAAGTGTAGATGGAGTTTGGAAGGGAAAAGGGTTTTCTCGGCAGTGGAAAGAAGGTATAATAATCCCATTATTTAAAAAGGGGAAAAAAAGTGATGTGAAGAACTACCGAGGGATCACCCTGCTCAATACTGCGTACAAGATATACGCAATGATAATAGATGAGAGGTTATGAAAGATTATGGAAGCAAGGGGTATGTTACCAGACGGTCAGGCAGGGTTCACGAAAGGAAGAGGTACTATGGACAATGTGTACATCCTGCGGCATTTAGTGGGAAGAGAAATAAGGAAAGAGGGTGGACGAATGTAGGCATTGTTCATAGATTTCGAAGCAGCGTTTGATAGCGTGAATAGGGAGAAGACGTGGGAGTATTTGAAGAGAAAGGGAGTAGATGCGTACCTGGTAACGAAAATGAAAGAAATATATGAAGAAACAGTACGTAAGAAGAGAGTGAATGGAATAGAGAGAGAGAGTTTTTATACAAATAGAGGAGTGAGACAGGGATGCTCACTCAGCCCCGCATTGTTTGCAACTTATCAAAGAAATATATATGAAATGTTCAGAAAAGCACAGACAGCAATAACTCAGATAGATCATAAAGTGATAGGAATAGTATGGGGAACAGGAGAGAGAAAATTTGGACATGGTTATAAAAGAATGATGATGTTTGATAGTTTGATCTAAAGTGTATTTATGTACGGAGCTGAGATTTGGAGATGGAGGGAATATGAAGAAACAGAGAGAGTGCAAGAAAAATACTTAAAATGGACATTGGGATTGAAAAAGTATACGCCTAGAGAAAAGAAACAAAAATGAAGAAAATGAGAGTGGAAGCGGGTAAAAGGGCGGCTGAATTTGAAGAGAAGTTTAGTGAGAGAGGTGATTGTAAAATATTGCAAGAATGTTGGAAAGAAATAAGAAAGGAAGGGGGAAAACATGTTTTGAACGAAAGAGACAAGTATTATGAAGAAATAGAGAGAATGAGAGAAATGGGAAGGTGTTTGAAAGAAGAACTGAGTGTAACTACCCATTCACAATGGACATAAGGCATAACAAGTACATAAAGCTTACATAAATACATAAAGTTGAAACGATGGAAAACGTGTACCCCTGTTCACAGTGGACGAACGTAATTCTTATGCTTATGAACGTTTTATGTAATTCTTGTGTGCGTACACAAAGTTGAAATAAGTTCAATTTTGTGCACGAATTATGTCAAAATTATGTTAAAATCTAGGGACTTTTGAATGCTGCTATTGAATTCCCTTTGACAGTTGGCACTTGGCACTTCACACCTTTGATTATTCTTAATATATATAAATCTCGTGTCACAATGTTGGTCCTCAATGGACTCCTAAACCACTTAACCGATTATAATAAAATTCGCACACCATGTGCAGTTCGATCCAACTTGAGAGATAGGATAGTTTAAATCTCAAATTATAGTCGCAATCTTAATTTATTGCTAATTATTTGTCTGCTATTATTTGACAGTCACAATTATCTGTTAACTCCAAATGATTCTAACAGATGTCGATACCTTTCGACTGGGTTTCTAATATTTAAACGATTAAATTATTATTGTCAGTCAAATGCCACCGAAAAAATCTAACCTCAACAACGCGAGCAGCAAAGGGTCACGACGCAAACGTGTTGAAAGAGCTCAGCAATTACCAGAACAAATCGAAACAAGAAATGCAGCTGAAAGAATCAGGACTGCAGAAAGTCGTGCACAAGATTCTCAAGAACAGCGTGACGAACGTCGGCAACAGAATATTACGAGAACAAGAGCGGCACGAGAACGAAACATAGCTACAGTACGAGTACTAGATCGACAAAGGCAACGGATCAGCCGCTCATTAACACGTGCATCATTCGTTCGGCTTGCCTTTGAATATGCACCAGATATTAACTACTCAGCGCATTCAAAAATTGCTATCGGTGGAATGGATAAAGTATGTCAATATTGTCAGGCATTGAAATTTCGGAATGAAGCAGCCGGCATGTGCTGCGCATCAGGAAAAGTTGTGCTGTCACCTCTACCCGCTCCGCCGGAGCCTTTATTATCTCTTCTTACTGGCAATTCAGATGATTCCAAATTATTTTTGCGTAAGATACGCAAATTTAATTCTTGCTTCCAAATGACGTCATTTGGGGCAACTAAAATTTGCGATCGTGCATCCGATGGACGTAATTTTGAAACTACATTCAAAATTCAAGGCCAGGTGTACCATAAAATCGGATCACTGATGCCAATGCCTGATAACAATCCGAAATTTCTTCAAATTTATTTTATGGGCGTTTGTGAAGAGCGCGTGACGACTCGGTGCCTGTATAATTTTATTGAACAAGCAGAGGAAAGAGCAATTGTGATATTATTGGAAAATTTTTTAGAAGATCACAATCAACTAATTCAATTGATCAAAAGAGTTTCGCCACGACTGCAAAATGACAATTATCAAATCGTCATAAAAGCCGACAAAGTACCATTAGGTGAACATGCTGGTAGATTCAACGCTCCAACTGTTGATGAGGTTGCTGTTATCATGGTTGGTGATCCAGTTGACAAAAGATCTATAAAAATTACACGGCGAGACAACACTGTCAGTACGATTTCGGATCTACACCGTTCATATGACGCAATACAATCTCCATTGATATTTTGGCAAGGACAAGATGAATATCACCTTAATATCAAACAGTATGATCCAAATACCGGTAAATTTGACAATTATCTATTTACTTAAGCCACAGCAACGCGTGGCCGGGTCAGCTAGTATTATATAAATTATAATCAAAGCTTCACACTGCGATTCTGTTCTGTACTGCGAGTTGTCAAGTTCGAATATCGTATGAGATTGTAGGTTAGATATTTTGATTGACTCAGTTTGAGGTTAGCCGTTCTATGTTTAGCCGTTCTATGTTTAACAATTTTTACAGAGTTCACTCTGTCCACTGTGAACGTAGAATTTTTTGACGACTTTTTTTGAAAGTGAAATTTTTCCAATGGTCCCCCCTTCTTCAAATTTCGCCCAATTTTTGACATTTTCGAAACTTAACTAAATACATTTTCTTATAGATTTCGAGCTCTAGAACTTACTTCCGGCCTCGTTTCTTTGATAACTGCAACCGTCTTTCCGGAATCGACCTTTGAAAAATAGCGGTTTTTAGAAATTTTCAAAAATTCGCATTTCCTACGGATTCTTTTGAGAATGTTGCTCCGAGACCACCAACACACTATATTTTTGGAATCAGCTTGTCGAGATCTACGTCCCTGAATTTTTTCACAATTTTTTGACGACTTTTTTTGAAAGTGAAATTTTGCAATGGTCCCCCCTTCTTCAAATTTCGGCCATTTTTTGACATTTTCGAAACTTAACTAAATACATTTTCTTATAGATTTCGAGCTCTAGAACTGACTTCCATATTCGTTTCTTTGATTACTGCAACCGTTTTTCCGGAAT